GGGGGGGGGGGGTGCGCGGGGGCCCCCCGCCCCTCGGCGGGTCTCGCGCCGGTGGGTTTGCTCCCCGCTGTGCTGCGCCGTGGGACTTTTGACATGAAACTGTGTGTGTTTATAATCAAACTTTGGTCCTTCCTTACGGTATTTAATTTTAAGGGTGGCATGGAGATCTCTTCGTGTCTGTGTTACCTTCTGGCTGCCGGCGCTTTGTGTTTGGGGCTGATTTATTGGCCTCTGGGAGCTGTGATTTGGGCGGGCCCGGCGGGCTCTGCCAGCGCCGTGGGGCGATGCAGATAACGCTGCCGGGCACCCTCCTCCTGCCCGCCACAACTAACCCTGTTATGGGAATTTAACAGGATCCCTCAGGTGGGATGGGGACGGGTTTGGGTCCTGCTGATGGTCCAGGGGTCCCTAGGGCAGTGGGGTCTGTACTGGAAGTGGGGCTCTGTGCATTCTTGGGAGTTTCTTCTTGCCTCCCCAGATCTGGCTGGGGGACATCTGCTGCTGCCCAGGTCACCCTGCACACAGTGGAGACATTCACCAGGTGTTGTAGGAGCTGCTGCAGATCCCACCCAGATCCCACCCTGCCTTGGCATCGCTTTGCCTCTGGCAGAGCCCAGACGTGGGGCTGAGTCTCGGCTGTGAGCACTGACAGTGCTGGCTGCGACCTGTCAGGGTCATAAAGCAGAAACCCGGCATGTGCCTGGATGTGCCCAACGTGAAGATGCCTAGAAAGGCAGCAGGGGAACCTGGGACATCTTCTCACCCCAGGCACTGCTCAGGGAGGCACGTGCTTATGGTGGTTTTCAAAACTTTTAGGTTTTTTTTATCCCTCACAAACTTCCTAAACACTGTTATTCTTAACTGTTGTCTTCCTGTGCGAACCCTGTAAAAACCCCAGAGCTGCTTCGTCTGTTGGATTTCTTTATCTTCAGGAAACATGAAATCACACGTGCCTGTTTCTGGGATGGGATTGTACCAAGAAACAAAGCCAGGAGAAGCACATTGCCTGGAGACATGGCACATGGGGTTTATCTCTAACCACTTTCTGCAGTCTCTCTCTAAACCTCAGGAAGAATGAAACAGGGACAAGTTATTAAGATGGCAGACACTAAAGGGAAGCCAAATCAGAAAGAAAAGTGCTGTTCTTTCAGCAAAGCAGGAGGATGTGCAGCAGAGCTGCATGTGGGTTTAACCTCCGTGCTGGGAGCACCGTGGCTGCCTGTGGCACAGTTTGCTCAGCACAGGGAGACGGAGAAGAACCAGGGTTGCCTTTGTCCTGTCTCCTTCAACTCTGGGGCTGCCTTTGTCTGCTGCTTCTGGCTCTACGCGTCCCTGGCTGCTGCTGGGATGGTCTGTGGGAGCAGAGTGGGACTCGGAAGGCTGCCAGCCCTAGGTCCAGGCACTGTTAATAGGGACTTGGGGCTCACAGTGTGGGGTCACACAGTCCAGATGAGCTGCCCAGTGCATTTGGTGGAGTTGGTGGCACCTGTGGCACTGGGTGCTTGTGATACTCCATCAGAGGGACTGAAAAGGGGGACGTGGAGCCCCTGGGTAGCTAGGGCCAGCTCAGTAAGACCCTCGTGGGTCAGTACCACTGTGGGTCAAGCTGTGTCCGTGCTGCTGGCATTGCTGCTGCTCTCCCTGGAGCAGCTGGTGACGATCCCTGTGTCCTGGTGTGGTGGAGGTGGTGACGCTCTGGCTGCTGTTCATGGTGCTGCATTGCTGCAGCCACAGCTTCACTCCCAGCCTGGACTGCAGGACTGGGCATGCTGGGGTGTGGGGGGTTTGGGGGCACCGTGGTGGTGGTTTTAACTTGACACTTTGAAGTTTATCCCTGTGGTTTCTAAGGGCAAGATGTTTGACACAGCACAGTGAAGCCTTTGGCTGTGCTTGGTGCTCCATGTCAAGGATACAAAGAACTAAACTGCATTCAGAAGTGAATAATGTGGTAAAATAGATTAGACCCTGTTTTGGTGCATTTCTTAGATGCAGCCACCACACGTGGGCAGCTCAGACTTCCCCTTGGAAGATGGGCTGGGGGGTTTAGTGTTGCTGGCTGCAGCCAGAGCCCTCTGCTCTGGGTGCCATCTCCTTAAACTCCCTTTAGTGGCAAACCAAAAAGCGCCTGTGTGACCCTGAGTGTGCTCGGGGTGACTGGGGCAGGGAGCAGGTGCAGTGTCTGGGTGGAGGTTTTTGAAGTCTGAGCTTTGTGTGACAGCCTTGGTCACTGCTTAGGGCTGGTGGGTTCGAAGACGTTGAGCCTGTAGATGGGGAAAGGCAGTTGCTTGCCCACCACGGTGACCTTTCCTGCTGGCGGTGCCTCTTTGCTCCCCAACGGGGGATTTCACTTCCCCGGAGGGTTTCTGGGCGGGCTTAGGGTGGGCCATGGCTCAGGCGGGACAAGCCGTGCTGTGTGTCCCGGGGGTGCCGCGGTCCCGCTTGCCCCTCTCCGATTCCCGGCTGGATTCTGGCGGCGCCGGGTGCGT